CCCTGGGGTTGTCAATCAGAAACTCATCAGAGCGTCTGTCCCTATCATTCTTAGCGTTCTGGTCTTCGTTGAGAGCTGCGGGTTGTGAGCGTGAGCGAACCGATACTTTGGCACCTTGTGAATCTTTAGAGCTCGATCGGGAAGTGCTCCATGGAAATGGGCCTTCGGCTTCCTTATATGTGTTGAGAAAAGTGAACAATGCACTTTACAATTTATGAAGCTGGAGAGCAAAACATTTGTCAAGGCACTGAGCGATGGCGCGTGAGTAACTCCATGAGCTCACATTCCACAGTGTCACACATAGTTTGGGAGGCCATCAACTTGCTACACATCGCATTGGGCGGCATTGAGCAGCCATCGGGAACTAAGCGCTATAGAAAATGGGCCCAAAATCTTCAGACCAGATACATGTATCCAGAAGGGGTGCAAGGGGCAGCTGCGAATGGACTGGCACGGCCGATCGGGTCTGAGGTCCTGGCTCCAGCCCCGATTTCTGCGGAGAGTCCGCGCGCTACGTGTCCAGGCTTGGTACCTGGCGGGGCTCCGTTTTGGGAAAGCTTAGTTTCGGGATGGACAGGGATCACTTCTGACAAGAGCCTTCGGAGGTCATGCAGTTTTGCTTTGGCCCCGCATGAATCGTTGCTGAAGCCTTGCGGTGAAAACCACAAGCACCCAGTCCCCTTAAGGAACGTTGAGACATGTCATGCCTGAGGCCCTCTGCTCTCTGAAGTACATATGATGAATGTGTGTCGAAAGTTCAACGGACAAGGCCGGACGATTGGTTGGCCTACATGGTGCGAAGTGGCAGCCAGGGCCTCAAGTAAGGCATGGTGTTCACATGTCAGCGACACATCACAAGCAGCAGGTTAAGCCCGCTACTTGTTAAACAAACCTCAAGTCGATCGGCGTCACCGCTCTGATCACCACCCCTACTTCTTACCACTCTTCCCCCTGACCCTTTTGGCCGGAGGATCTCCACCAGTTGCCTTCGTGGCTGGCCTTGGTTTGGCCTGCGCGGCTCTCGGAGTTCTGTCGAAGAACTTCTTGGCATTCCTGCGAAGTGGGTATATTCTGAGATTCCGGGGGTCCTTCTTGTGGGTTGGCGGGTTTGGGTTTAGGGTTTATCCAGTGTTATTAATAAAAAACCGAAACAAACGGGTTTCTAATTGTATATGACTTGGGGACTTGGGGTTTAGATACATAGATCGAGGGTTGAGGGCGCCGATACGGTTTAGGGAGTTTAGGGTTGGTTCACAAGACCCTTCTACGAATTTAGCAACAAGAAGCTCCGAACTACAGAATCCAGTCCTGATGCGAGTCTCGGCAGCCACAGCCTTGCTGCACCTTGTGGGACCCAAGTCTTCGGTTGAGAACTGCTTTGGTTGTATTCAGGGTTGCGACATGTACTGCAAAGAAGAAGGTTGCAAGTACATATACGATTGAAGCTGAGACTTCTACACAAACGTGGCTTCCTTCATCCTGGATTCGGCAGTGATCAGGAACCTGAGGTGCATCTATAGGAGATTACATAGGACTCCTTGCATCTAACTCTCAAAGCAAGAAGCAGCGAGAAGTATTTGGGCAAGACACTTTGCATCTTTCCAGCCATTCATGTCACCCTCACTCAAGACTAGCTGGCAACGCTCGTGTTGGTCCTCCATCTTGGTAACTTCAGCCTCCAAGGTCTGGACGTGCCTGGGCTGGCTCTGGCATCAGGCTCCGGGCTGGGATTAGGTAGGTTCTTTCGGCTGGGTTTATTGGGTGCAGGTTGGTGGCTTCTGCACATCGGGCTCTGCGTAATTCTTTGTAAGATCCTTGATGAGGCCTCGAACTTTCGAGAGTTTGCCCAGCAGGGACTCACAGAACTTGGTGAGGGCGTCGCCGGTCTGCAGTTTCGGTTTGGGGTTTAGGGGCGAAAGTCATTCAATCATTCAGGGCCATAGGCAGGCCTTGATATGCTCAGCTGTCTTGGAGGCTTGCTGGTGTTGGGCTTCGGCGCTCTTCTCGTAGGCGCAAATCCGATCAAACGAAGAAGTCAACTTCACAGGTCCACTAGCCTGAGTGCCACGAGCATCCGCCATATTAACCCCGACACAGGAAAGCAACAGAAGACCCGATCGGAGAATGTATTGCTTGCAGAGGAACCACCTCGGCATCAGTTGTCCTTTCTTCTTGGGACAAGACCTCTTTCCTGCTTCCAGTCTCCCTGACTGTCACCCAGAACTCCTCCTCTCCGTCGTACAAGTTCTTCCTGAATGGGCATATATGTTTGTACATAAAGCATGCCTCGACCCTCCCCTATATACCATCTTGGTCCACTCTATATTGTGAAAGTCCCCAACCGGCAATGGCTGTCGCCCATGGTGCGGCAGAACTTGATGGCTCCATCAATTCTGGACCTGATGCTATCGAAAAGTTAACGAGCCAAGCCCCAAAAAACGTAGTCTACATGTACCGAGGAGTGTGCTGCGGCCAGCCGAGTTCGGACTTCATGTCGCTTGCACTGTACCAGCCCTCGTCCACTTTAAGAGTGTACTTCTCTTTCCTCGATACGATTCGCTCCAGCTTGCCAAAGAAAGCATCCTCGAAAACGTGGCAGGGCTTATTGGGGAAGCAGGGGTTCTCATATGGCCATGGATCGAACTATGCACACATAGGTCCTTCAGGAAATTGCAATCGCGCAGGAGCATCGCCATCTCCTTCTTGTTTCCTTCGTCCCAGTGTTTCTTTGCGAATTCCGGGGCCTCGTACGTTTTTTTTCTTCTTGTGAGCCTTCATCATTCTGTTCAGTCGTGATCTCGCTGCCAGAAACAGTTTCTCCTCCATCCAAGAAGCATCAAGATCCCACCCCCGCACGCACTGGTAAACGAGATCACAAAAACACATATAGATACAAATGATTGTTGTCCTGGCGTGTTGGGGCCTTCTTCTCTGCAGGTTCTTCGACTTTCGTTGGGCTTGCTTTTGGCGGCGCTGAGAGCGCACAGGGCGCTGGAGGCGCGCGAGCGGGGGTTGCGATTGGGCGAGGGTTTGCTTTGGTGCTGCTGGCCTGCAAGTCCTTGCAATCCAGGGGCTCACCTACCCCAGCCTTGGAAACCGAGCTTGGTTCCGGAGCTTCCGCTTTCACGGCAGCCGGGATAGCAGCCGCGAGCATTTGTTTCAAATCAGCATCATCCAGGTCCTTGCGATTTTCCCCGGTAGAAATGCTAAAATTCGCTTGCAAGTTAAAGTTCACTTGGACACACATGTGGTCTCATTTAACAAAGTGCGATGACGTGCAGCCAGGCGGCATCAACCTGGACCACCTCGTCACTTAGATTGTCGTGGGGTAGCCCAGCCAAACGAAGTTCATCGGAAGTAGCCTCGATCGTTTTTGGGTTCACATAGAGGGTTTGGGCTTGTGTGTTTGGGGTTTATATAGGCTTTAGACAGGAGTGCTCTCTACACAGGGCTTCTTACATTGAGGGTTCTTGAAGGTGTCAGGGGCTTTATTGCATTTCAGATCAGAAGCGGGGAGGGTAGCGGCGTGCATCAGAGCGTTGGTGTCCTCGCCTGTTATCTTTTCCTTGGAACGACTTAAATTCTTTACAGGCTTCGATCAAAACATGGCAAGAGCACCGGCATGGTGCATATATAGATGGTTTTGCTGGGAGGCATCTGCGGTTGCATCAACCACGGCTGGCGTGCGGAGATCCTTCTTTTTTTTGGCTGATGTATTGTTCAGCATGTAAGGGTTTATAGGGTTTAGGGTTTAGGGAGTGTTTATATATAGGTTGTATTTAGGGTGTGTGGGGTTTATGGGGTTTATGGGGTGTAGGGTTTATATATATATATATACACACATATATATATATATAATTAGGGTTTAGGGTTAATTTATATATAGGGGTTAGAGTTTATATATATATATATATATATATAGGGTTTATGTACGGTTTATATAGGGTTGATAGGGCTTATATAGGGTTTATATAGTGTTTATGGGTTTAGGGTTTAGGGTTTAGGGTTTATATAGGGTTTATATAGGGTTTATAGGGTTTATAGGGTTTGGGTTTTAGGGTTTATATAGGGTTTAAGGTTTATATAGGGTTTGGGGTTTAGGGCTTAGGGATGCCGATCTACGAACAGTGTTGCAGATCGAGAATGCATCCCGAATGTCCTGCAGCTCATTCATGAGCTGGGCTTCCTCTAGTTGTAGCTGTTGGATCATCGCTTCAGTGGATTCAAGCTCCACATGGTTAATCCCCGCATCTAGGGTGGCAGTGCTCCATGACCCGGACTGCACTGCGCCAGCCATGTGTGCTGTGCAGGGCATCAAGAGGGCCGCGCTAGGTTCGAGTCTCCAAGACAGGACAGATTTGAAGGCTCAGCAGCACACAAGAGCATGAACGTGCTGAAGAGTGGGCGACAAGCTTGCTTTTCGGCCTTGTGAAGAACGATGCGTGTGCTTCGCAGCACAATCATCACGAATTTTCGCAGCATCTGTGTGTAACATGTGCTTGCAGACCATCATTTGGTGCCACGGCACCGACTTAGGGGGAACACAAAAGAACCCATATTTTAAATACGGGTTTATACGGGTTAAATACGGGTTTAATACGGTTTAAATACGGGTTCAAAAAAGTAGGTTATGACTGCGCTAGTAGCAATATACGGGTTTAATACGGGTTAGTACGGGTTTTTTTATACGGGTTTAATACGGGTTAGGGCTTCTGGGGCTAACCCAAACCTCAAGCGGCACCCAAAAACGATCTCCACACCTATAGGGGTGATAATAACAAACAGAGAACCCTTGAGAAGCCATGGGTTTTCCAGCAACATTATGACACAGGCCTCTAGCTCCAGGGTCAAATAGCCTATTGTTGGGGTTCGGTCGGGGCGCGGAAACTGAAGTCTAGATGTTGCTCCTACAAAACCAATGGGTCGGTTGAACATCTGTCCCTGAAAGCTACATCCCCGAACATCTACAGGGCACCACACAGTTGTTGCAGCGAACGCATTCAAGAGGGGAAGCTTCTGGGGATCAGCTCTCTCCACTCTTCGGGGATTTTGAGCCTTTTGGCCCCACGCAGATACACAAACAGTGGCTCGAAACTCGTGAACTCCCATAGCTCAGGCTCACAATTGTACATCATGGACCGAAAAGTCTCTGTAGCTGCTGGAACCACCTCTGCCTGGGGATATCCCTCGCCGGTGCTCTTGAGGATCTCGCAGTGGCGGGCCAAGTGGCAGGCAAACTGGACGGGATACTCCCTGGGCAGCAGTTGGGTTTGAGGGTTTAGGGTTTACATAGGGTTTATATAGGGTTAGATATAGGGTTTACATTGCGGAACCAATCTATAGAAGGTAGAAACCCTAAACCTAAACCCTATATATATATATAGACCCTATATATATCTATAGACCCTAAACCCTGTATAAACCCTATATAAACCCTACATAAACCCCTAAACCCTATATAAACCTTAAACCCTATAAAGTGTGTATTTTCCCGATCGGTACACCCATATATTGTAGATGTGCTGTGGGGCTAGGATACGTGGGGGCAATAGACTCTCTTTCAGAGGCTGGTGCGTTCTACAGCTTATTTGGGACAATGTATGTTAGGGGCTTTGGTGGAAAGTTCAGTTCTGGGCGTCGGTTTTGAATCGGGATTGAAAAGGGCTCTAATATACACCTGTTAGTACTTGGGGCAGCCAGGCTTCTCGGTGCCTCGTAAAGAGGCTGTTGCGGTGTAGCACTCCTTTCCTTCACGGTTGATGCTTCTTTTGGTTGTTTTGGTCCGGACTTTCTGACTTTCGGTGAAGGATTTGATGTGCAGCTTTCCTCGGTCCAAACTTCTAATTTTGGCACTGTTGGCATATCCATAGTGACGCTTCGGTGTGGCCGAAGCAAAGTGGCCCATCCACCAGCTGACACGGAACACCTCAGGGTCATGAGAAGACGAACATATATACAGTGCAACAGCAGTGTCGCCAGAAACAAGCAACCTACAGACCTCAAAGGAACAACAGCAACCAAGTTACTGCAGGCCGGTGTCTGGTGATGTAAAGTGCCATGAACAGTTTCCGAAACGTTGGATAAAATTCAAGGCATGATCCTCGGGGTTGTTCGAGGAACCAAGTTCCTCTGAGAGAGGTTACGAGAAAGATCAGGAGGACGGACCTGCCCAGTCGGTCTATTCAAAGTGGTTTCAGGCTGTAGGATTTCGTGGGAGAGGGGCTTTTTTCACGGAGGTCGAAGAGCTCGGCTTGAACTTTAGCTTTGGTATTTGGCCTCTACATATATTATTGGGCTTTGGGGTGGCTCTACATGTAAAAAAAGGATTGGGTTTATTGCAACTGTGTAGATTGGTGGGCGGGGGGGTGTTTGCTGGTTCCGGGCCTCTCTAAGAGTTGGTTCGCCTGCTTGACAGAGGCATGCTGGGGCATGCCGACACTGCTGCACGCAGATCTTTTGGAAGTCCCTCGATTCATCTGAGAGAACGAAGCACATTTCACGGCGAAGATCGCGAAAAAACTCTGTGGCCGGCCACGCAAAATGAAATAGCAGGCAAGCCTTGGCAGGTGGGGTTTGTGCTCACTTCTTTCTCTGGGAACTTACAGTGCACTTGGTCCTACAAGATGGTCGCAGGTACAGGGAACAATATGACACAGTCTTTCTTTGCAAGCCACAGAAAGCCACTGGTGTGGGTGAGGTCCATGTAATTTGAGCGATGGCCCGGTTTTTTTTCGTGGTATTTGACATCGAAACGCCCCGATTTATAGGATTTGCTTCGCATAGCTGCTGTCGTACGTGCTCTTCCAGCATAAAACTCAAGGAAATCATAGTCCTGAGCTGGCCACATTGAGCTGCTTAGGTCTGGCGATTATATATTGACGAAGCAACATAGTAAAAGAGCCTGCGCCAGCTCATCCTCACTGAAGCAGAAAATCAGCAGGAGGAGGCAGAGCACAAACTCCTACCGCAAACATTCAGGGGTGCGCCTATAGTTAGGGTTTATCGGGCTTATCTAGGGAATTTTAGGGCACTAAATATATATGTAGGACGGGGTGGGCAATTTGAATTTGGGAACGATGCTCCTTCGGAACCTGGAACAACTTGAGGGCGTAAAGCAAGCGATCCACATCCACCATTGCGAAGCCCCTACCTCCCTGCGCAATACAAAGTTTGAGCACTGGTCCCTCAGCCCAAAACTGTAACATGGCAGGCAGTTCAGGTATTTCGGCCACATCCTGCGCCAAATTCGTGTAAGTCCCCTTAAACCCTAAATCCTATATATGTATAAACCCTAAACCCATATATATATATATACCCAAACCCCCGATTCCTTCAGTCTTGCAAAGGACCCATCATCGATCCAGCACACATCAACAATTAAACCCTGAACCCTATATAAACCCTCTATATACATATATATATATATAAACCCTTCAGGGTTTAGGGTTTAGGGTTTATAGGGTTTATAGGGTTTATAGGGTTTATAGGGTTTATAGGGTTTATAGGGTTTATAGGGTTTATAGGGTTTATAGGGTTTATAGGGTTTATAGGGTTTATAGGGTTTATAGGGTTTATAGGGTTTATAGGGTTTATAGGGTTTATAGGGTTTATAGGGTTTATAGGGTTTATAGGGTTTATAGGGTTTATAGGGTTTATAGGGTTTATAGGGTTTAGGGTTTAAGGTTTAGGTATATATAAACCCTAAACTCTTCACCCTATATAAACCCTAAACCCTAAACCCTACATATATATATATATGTATATACAAACCCTAAACCCTATATATATATACACATATATATATATATAAACCCTAAACCCTATATATATATAAGGCCCTATATAAACACCGCCCGAAAACACAAAGCCCGCAAACCGTGGCCGGCAGCACGCTTCTTCGCGAGGCGATCCAAGCGAAGCTTCCATAGATTCCCACGTGTGGATTTGGCCTGGGCAAGCTGGAATTCAGGAGATGGGGTTCGTTGCGAGTGGGATGTAAATTAAGTTGGGGAGTCTACTTGCTATGGGTTTCGGTGCGTTCGGGGGACAAAGTCGGTGTTAGCTAGCTTGCAGAGATTGTTTACACGAGAAAGCTGTGTCGCAATGGCAAAGCTTCAGCAATGTATGAAAGCCGCCTTTTCTCTAGAGCCGGATGGGTCGAGAACACGGATTTGAGATCTTCGGGGTCGAGGGATCGGCGCTCTTGCTTGTGAGTGGCCATGAGTCTCAGCATCAGTACCCCCCATGTATTTACCTATAGGCAAAAGACAAGAGAAGATCGAGATGAGTCTACATCAGGGAAGCTATATACTCACATAGCTCCTATAGCGCCTCGATCCCAGACAAATGGAAATCGTGAGGGCCCGATCGATGTAGCCAAGGCAGCCAGCGATGCTGTTCACAACTATAGCAAATTCCACGTCACGCAGATAGCGCTTTCTGTTCTGCTGGCAACGATCTTAGCAAGCGACTGGCCACCTGAAAAGCAACCTGCTGCAGACTAAGCACAAGTCCTTTCTTGGAGGGTGGCCTTGTCACCCCAAGCAGGGTTGTTCATTTCACCCTGCACCCCAACGACAACGTCGCACACCTATCCTCAAAGAGGCTGTGCACTGCAGCACACATCCTACACTGAACCCAGGGCCCCAAAATCTTCTCCACCGCAACGGCCAAAAGGCTTTGCCTGAAATGGCGGCATCACTTCTTACTGGGCGTGACACCCAGCACTTTCTTCAAGTAGTCCAGGGCACACTTGGCCACACATTCGCAAATGTTGTCCATATTGACATCGTCCATCTCCTTCAGCAAGCGCATGCACCACTTGAAGAAGGGGTCCTGCGGGAACCCAACCCCATCACAGAACGCTGGCTTTTGAGGCAAGAAAAAGTACATCCATATAGGAAACGTAGCAAACAAAAAAGAGCCTTCTCATTTATGGTCCCGGTTCTCAGCTCGGCAGCCCCCCCCCCCTCCCCCCACCCCAAACCCTATATATGTATATACATACACTCCAAACCCTAAATGTAATTACACATAGCCCTAAACCCTATATATATAAACTCTAAACCCTAAAAACTATATATGTAAAACCGTAAAACCCTAACCCCTAAAACCAACCCACACAACCACACCACAGGGGAGGGGGCAGGGGGGGGAGGGGGGGGGGAGGCGGGGGGGG